CCACGCCTTTTTTGCGTCACGTAGACGTCAAGAGTGAAAAGTGGAACTGGGACCCAAAGTTAGCTACCCACCAAGAGGGGTAGCCAGGTGTCTCTCAACACACTTGGTCGGGGATGATCGCTATCTTCTTCTCAGTCACGACGGATCATATTCGTACATGGTCTGGAAATTCGACGATCTGAACGAACCAGGCAAGGCGCCGAAGGGGTGGGACACCTGGAGCGAGGTTCAAAGGACATTATCACACCACTGCGCCGGCTATTCGCTCGAACTTCAAGAGACAGAAGAGTAAAGCCGGACCAGCAGCATGGAGTCTGCCACTTGAAGGAGTCTTTGAACAACCAGTTGTACATGGAAACAAGATGGAAGTTGTGTTGGCACGTTTGAAGCCTAAAAAGAGTGATCAGGCCAGGAAAAAGGAAGCTGTACGTCGCCTTGACTTGTAAAGGTTGCAAGCTGAGGCTCTAGTCTCTGGCCGAGGCTCTAGTTTCTTGCGAGCCTGACGCCACGGCTTGTCTTCAACCCGCGTTATTGCCACTTACCGAGCATTTAAACTTACTGTTACGTATTCTGAGCTTTCTAAGCTGACAAAAAGCTGCTACAGATGACCAGTCTCCCCACGCTCAAAGCATCAGACGACTGGTCAGGCAACATCAAAGCTTTCGACCACGATGAAGCGCCACAAGAGATCAACAGGTCCAACCAGCACTCGCCCGGTTGTACAGCTGGACAGCTGAATATTACAACACGACCCGAGCGTGGGGTCGAAGTTCTAGAACACACCCTCCGCCCGGAATGTAGATGAAGAGAAAGACAGGAAATCACGTCTGCCGTCCAATAGCAGGCCTCAGATCGCAGCACGAGACAGAGACGAGCTCACACGAGCTCGTCTCCACCCCAGTAGGGTCAAGACAGCTCACAGCCGTGCCACCCGTCTTGGTCCCCGATCCGCCCCGGCCCTAGCATGGGCTCTCCCGGGGGTTTGGGGTGTGTCTGGGTCTCACTTCGAGGTACCATGTACGCGACGCCCGTCCCGCCGCGCAGCGTGCATAAGCCTGCGGGCTGGCGTGCAGGCGATGGGACTCTACATGCGTCGAGAGAGACAAGAGGAGGGTCGGCCAGCCCGATATATTGCTCTCGCGCCTTTCCAGGTTGGGTTTTCGGGCTGTCTGAGGTTGCAGCAGGGGTGATTGTTCAGGGAGCGTGGGAAATTTGGCTTGCCTAACTTCCTCCGACCAGTCGGGGTTGGGATGAATGGGTTAGACTCAAAATGGAGGCCAGCGTATTAGTGAAAAGAATACATCGTTTTGATATGCGCATCATCGAGCGCTGGGTTGTGTGTCCATGACTGTTGCCGCACAGCTGTTGCTACAAACAGTGCTCACCAACGACAAGTAGCACGACGTCCAATCAGCATCTAGTAAATGGCCATGAGTTCTCGGGTTCAAGTAGATTCGTCCGGAGGATCATGATGGAATAAGGCAAAAGTGCGTCCCTGAGGCTGAGCAGTGGAAACCTCTCCAAGAATCGACCGACGAAGGGCAGTCTTGGCGATTCTGAAGGATATCAACACTGACTCTGCTTTGGGTGGATTCTTGCTCCCAAGGTGGTCCAGTCGGTACGTGTGTGCGTCTTTCGTCCAATTTTCCGATGATACTGAAGCGGGTCATCCCAACGCCAAGGATAAACTCGGAGCTACTGCGCGTCCAAGCTACGCAACGAGCGGTCCCATAGAGATCGACAAGCTCATAGAACACATGCGTGCGCAGCAAGTAGAACCTGTCACGAGCCAAGACGGCTTGTTGACAAGGGAAAGAGAGAGAAAAAAGAAAAAAGGTCAGCGAACCTAATTGCTTCGGTCGCTCTCGACCTATGGAAAAAATGCTCTCCTTCTGGAAGGGTTGAAAATGGATCCCATCTGCCCCACCATCTGTTTTGGGCCACACATGGTGGTCAGAGAGGCGAGCCTGACGAGACACGTTTATGTGAGACGTGACGTGGTTTGCCAAGATGCATTTGCTATCGGGGCAGGCCGCAACATGTCGTGTCTCGAAAGACCCCGGTCGTGTGTCCACCCGTGTCGTTCGGGGAGGGTCGACAAACCGCCGGCCGTTGCCACCACTTGAAGCAGCAGCGGAGGTAATGCGGCAAATGCATTGGCACAGTTGGTTGTCTGCTCACTGCTTTTGGAAATCAGACTTCGGACAACCCACCAGACCATTGATGCAAAGGCCGCTTGAGCTTGAGGAGAAAGACAACGAGCCGCGCAGGCCGAGGGACCCCCACGTGGTCGTTGCTTTGTTGTCGTATGCTTGGTTGAGGGTCGGTGTTCGGACGTGGG